GCCACAGCTGAGGCACAGCTGAGTGCTACAGCTCAGTGTTATAGCTCTGGGTCATGGCTATCACAATGTGAAGACTGGAGAATCCAACATCGCTCTCGGAGGAGTTCCTACTCTGAAGTTTGTGTGCTCTGCCAGAAATGAGAACCTTCTTAGAGAGAGATCTACAGGGTAGGTGAGTACTCTCACAGAAGCAGAGGGGTGAGGTTACAGAACATTTTTGTAAGGGGCGGAGCTTAACAGAACATTCCTGTAAGGGGGCAGAGCTAATGGAACATTCCTGACAGGTCTCAGAAGTTCAGTTACAAAACATTTTGATACATTGGGCAGGAGCCCCAGCAGCACAAACTGTTACATTTCTAGAACAAAACATTCTGTGGGGGAAAAAAGGCATGGAGGCAAGACAAAGGCCTCTCACTATCAGTAGCTTGGGTCAGCAGCCCAGTGTGGCTGGGGTGGGATACCATGGCCCAAGGACGATGGGCTGCTCCCTTTAGAAAGCACAGCCCTGTGGATGATAGACCCCACCCTTGTGTTTCTTCAGCCCTCTGCCAAGGCACTAAGGGCGCCCTCAGAACTGGAAGAAATAGTTGAGATCAGCTCCCTAAGCCCCTGGTTGTGTACGGGAAAGAGGCTCACTCCAAAGGTGGCAGCCAGTGAATGGTGGAAGTCAGATCAAGCTTTTTCCTTAAAGTTAACTTGGTCCAGCCACTGACCAGATGCCAGCAGTCCTCTCCTTGTCTCCACAGAAGATAGGGAGGAAGCGGATGAACAGTGGCAAGTGGGGACAAGCTCAGCAGCATTTGTGAAGTGCTCAGGTGGCCAACAAGCCACGCAGATCATCCTTTTTCTAGACTCTACTCCCCGGGAAGAAGAACTCTTGTTAGTACCTTGCTCTTGGGGCAGTAGAGGTTCAGAAAGTTCATTGGCCAGGTTAGTTGACTGATACAAGTCAGGGCTGGAGCCATGCTCACCCAGTGACAAGCTGCCCCTGGGCAGTAGGTATGTGGTACAGCAGTGGACATGCTAGGTGTGGGTGTAGAAGAGTGACAAGGACGGAGGAGCTTGGGTCAGGGGCCAAGAGAGCCAGAGGCTTCTCTCCCTCTCTCCGGTCCTGGACTCAAACCAGTTCCTGTATGCTGTCTGATCCTCAGCTTTTCTATCAGTGCGATGGACATCCCACCTAATACACACCTGTATGTTCTTTGAAAACAAAAAACAAGAAAACGGAAAGCATTCTCACAGTGGTTAAGACAAATGCGGCACTAATGCAAAGAATCAATAATGATAATTACTCTACTCAGTGTCAGGGTTTAAAAGACACTGATGCAAGAAGCCACTACAGGTCCCTGGGAGAAACGGGGATAGACTATGCTGCAGGCAGTTATCATGGCAATCAGATCTCCCAACAATGAGGCTCATGGGGACTACAGCATCCTGACTGGCCTGTACGGGCTAAACCAGAAAGTGGTTCCTAAGCTTTGCCTTATACACAGGCTGCAGAAGGAACAGATTTGGGCTCTAGAGCCAGATCAGCTATGGAATCCTGGTCTCAAACTCTTTGAGCATCTGTGTCCTTGATGGGAAGCAGAGAGGCAGTGAGCATCTACCTCTGCAGGTGGCTGTAAGGACTCCACAAAGCAAGACTTGTGAGGCCTCTCTACAGTGTCTGACACACAACATATATTTGATGAGCATTAGCTTTATCATCAAGTGAAACTGGAGCCCTTGGCAAGTTTTTAGTGTGTTTGCACGAATATTTTCCTACTGCTACTGATGGCTACATAACCACCATTATTATTATTATCACCATTATTATGTCTCCGGGATCTGTAGGGTGAAGACATTGCTCATGATTTCCCTTGGGCCACTGCCCTTTCCTGATACAAAGTCTGGGGCAAATTGACACCACTCCAGAGCTTGGTTAGACACATTTATCTACTGCGTCCCATGCGCTGCATTAGGGAAGGACCTGCAGCTCAATTCCTTCCTTCCTTCCTTCCTTCCTTCCTTCCTTCCTTCCTTCCTTCCTTCCTTCCTCCTTCCTTCCTTCCTCTCTCTTTCTTCTTTCTTTTCCTTTCTTTTCTTTCTCTTTTACTTTCTGTGGTGGTACTGGGGATACAACCCAGGGTCTTTGCGTTGAGCTACATCCCCACTTCTTTTTTATTTTTCATTTTGAGGCAGGGTCTAAGTAAGTGGCCCTGGGCTGAGCTGGAACTTGCTCCCCTCTTTCCTCGGTCACTTAAACATCTGTGATCACCTGAGGCTCAATATTGATCAAGTTGATTATAGAAGTCTGAGATTGTTATTTGTGTGATTAAACTGTGTGCACCTGGAGAACTGGACGGTAGAGACTGGGCCCATCCATCTGTGTCTCTTCACCTAATTTGGGGCAAGTTACATTAAAAGTTGTTCATACTTGTTTTTCAAATAAAGGAAAGACTTCTAACTTGGGGCTCTTGACTGAGTGCTGTGGCCATGAGTAGGTAACTAGTTATGGGATGTGCAGAAAACAGCCTCTTAGGTTTCAGAGCAGAGGAGTCTGAAATTAGCAAGAGATGACCACTGAGAGGTGGATGGCTCGGATGGACATGAACGAGGTGTTTGGGCTGGAAAGAGGCCTCATCCTCTTCCGAAAAGATGCTGTGGCACAAAAATCCACCAGGGGCTTCCTCAGAAAAGACAGGCCCAGGGGTCTTCTGTGACTGAGCAGGCAGCAAGCACCTGCATCACGCGGCCCTCCCAGGGCAGGAGGCAGGATGGTGCTGCTGTACAGAACGTGGCTTCAGAGTCAGAAAGACTGACTTCAAGTTCTCCTCCTAGCCTAGACCTGGGAGGTCCCTTAGCCACTTGGAACCCCCATTTCTCAGCAGTATGGTGATGGTACTCTCCTTCAATGGCCGTGTTGAGGATTAGACAAGAAAATGCATGTACATAGTTATTCTGGTGCCTGAGACAGGGCAGGTGGTCAATAAATGGTACATAGGCACAAGAAAAAAAGTCCAGGAGACTACATCCTGTGGTTAGACAAGAAATTCTAACATGTTGCTATGCCTTGACATTGGACACCGGTCTCCTTTGACCTCTGGAAGTGGATTCTGCATTTTTAAAAACCTTTCCTGACCATGGTAGCTCTGCTCTCCACCTGCCTTTGCTTTGACATTTCCAGCTCCTGTTTTCCCAGCAGTCCCTCAAAGGTTACCTTCTTCACTTAGCTCTACAGTTAAAGTGCTTTTCTTTGTAACCTGGCCTTCACTGTGCTGGGTCCATGCTGAAAACTTACCAAGGCCGTTCCCCAGAAGCCTGCAGACAGAGCGGATGGCTCAGCTGGGACCTCCCCACCCACCACGTGCCACCACGCTCTTTCAAAGACCACCTGAGCATGTCTGAGAAAAGTTAAGCTGTTTTATTTCACAGGAGAGCTCCACGTCAAACCAGCAGGCACCATCAGAATACGAAACAGAGGATCCAGTCAGACACTCTACAGGAGGACGGGCGTTTGTGGAAGATAGAGAAACAATACCCAGAAGAGGGCAACACTTATCACATGGGGACAGGCAACCAGCAATTTCCGAGGGTAGTTTTGGTTTGTTTTTCCTGTCACAATTTGGGGAGGAAGGAAACCAAAGGAAACAAAATAGACCAGCCACTCTGAAGCAATCAGAACCAAACCTACTGCCAAACCATGTAAACAGTCACACTGCCGGGAACGTGGGCCTGAGCAGAACTCCAGCCAGGCTCAGCTTCTGTCTAAGGAAGGAAAAGTGCACTCAGGTTGTTTGGGTTCAAGGAACAGCTTTGTTTCTTTTTCTTTTTCTTTTCTTTTCTTTTTTTTTTTTTTTTTTTTTTTTTTTTTTTTTTTTATTTTTTTTTTTTTTTTTTTTTTTTTTTGTTGTTGTTGTTGTTGCCTGGGACAGTTCACACAGACAGATGTCAGCCGGGGGCAGCAATGGCCGTTTGGCCACCCCAGAGGATGGGACAATGGGACCCTGGCAGATCGACCTCAGAGAGGCCAGGAGGACTCGGACCTGAAAGCAAAGTCCTTTCTCAGCCTCCCTGGCAGCGTTGGGTAAGTGGGGGATTTTTCTACATGGCTGCTCAGGAGGGAGGAGTCCCCAGAGAGCCAAGGAAGTCGACATGAAATGTCAGCATTTGCTCTGCATAGCAGAAAATCAGCCAGGCAACACCTGCTCACCCCTTTCTGCCTTCCCTCCCCACCGCCCCTTCCCCTCTGTACTGGGCAGGGCCCACCTTCATGGCTGTGAGCCAGCCAGGATCTTTCTGGGCTCCTCAGGAGAAGGAGGCCTTTGCTCTAGTATGGAACCATCTGACATTTGAAAAGCGAGGAATAGAGACTGAGAGGAAGAGCCATCATGTTAGTCCTTGGGGTCTTCTCCATGTGCGACATGCATGACCAAGCCATGAGAAGTCCTCCACATGCATCCACACCTCCTGACAGAGAGATAAACCCGCCAAGGCACTCGAAGGATGCCGGCAGAGCAGGAAGTCTGGCCCCACACTGGCTCCCTTTTGGGTAGCAAAGCCAGTTTTAAATGTTTATAAGGCAGATCTCTGAACTGCTGGTTCCAGGTGGTAGCCAAAGGATGGCTAAGTTTCCCTGTGTCTCTTCCCACTCCAGTTTCTTCACGAATAGAAACCATCCATCCCTTGGGAGTCCATTTCTCTCCTGGCCCCTGGAGACTTCAGAGAAAAGACTCCCAAGTCTAATTCCCAAGCCCACAATTCCCCCTGATTGTGCGCTCTGCCCAGGGTTCAAAAGGCGCTTTGAGGTGAGAAATCGTTAGCACTGAAAACAAGGAAAGGCAAGGATTTTTCATAGAATCCCACAGCTCAGAGCAGCACTTTAAGAGGAAAAGGAAGTAAGGGAGGGTGGGGAGGGAGAGCGGGGTGAAAGCACGGCTTGTTCTCAATTTTATCCCAGAAAGGTCTTTTGTGGCAGCAGGACCAGGTGGCCCAGGAAACTAGACCAGGAATTAATTGTCTTTGGTCAGTTTTAAATGAACATCTTGCTGGTTCATTCCTAAAACAGACTGGACATCAGTTACACAGAAAAACAAAGGCTTGACCTAGGGGTAAATTGAAGGTTAAGAAATCATTCCATGAAGCCCAAAAAAGGAAAAAGAAAAGAAAATGCCCGTTATCAACTAACTGGTCAGTACAGCTTTCAATAATGGTGATGAACAAGTAGGTAAACAGCACTCCCCCTTGTACAATTAGTTATATTGAGGACTACTAACTAGGTTACTACGTTTCCCCCACACTTACTGTACAGTTAGGTTTCTGGTATTTGTTTTTACATTGATCTATCTACTAGGTGCAAAGATTTGGTAAGTGGTATTGGCTATAATTTAATTGTAGCCTTTAAAAAATTACAGTTTCACATTTTAACAGTTACTTTCCAGCATTTAAGCAAATACAGCAATATATAGTGGATTAAAACAGGCAGGAGTTGGGGAGAGAATGCCAACGCTCGGTGGGCCTGGTAAGGCCAAGTGGTATGGAGGGTGGAGACATGCAGAGTGCCAGATGAGGAGGGGGCAGCTTTCCACTGCTCTGCGTCAGGCTCAGATCTGGGCTGGGTAAGTGGGGAGGCACCTGCCATCTGTGTGCACTCTCCCTGAAATGTGAACGCACCAGCATTTCCCAATGGGGAAAAAGTAGGTGCTCAAAGAAAACAGCTAAGGCTCTGTTTTCAGGTATTTCTGGGAAATGGGTCTGTTGTCAGTAAGGAAAAACGAAATCAGTCAATTCAGAGAAAAAGCACACAGCCTGACTGGTGTGACAGACAACACATTTGCCTACTCAAACTTTTACTTTTCATCTGATATTCATGGCAGAATTTTGCCTGGGGGCTCCCAAGCTACATGCAGGAGGGCATGGGCCAAGAGTGTCTCTGGGATAACAACGAGAAGCCTTGTGTCCTGGCTGAACAGCGCAGCATCCTTGCAAATGAATGACTTTCTGAGTCTGACTTAGCCCCAACTCGCAGTCACCCGTCAAATTGTGGGTAAACCCCCAGGCCTTACTCTCTGGGAAATGGGGATATCTTTCACTTGATCTTAGCCAAAAGGCCGAGAAGCGATTGGGGATATCTTTCTATGCTCAAAGGCAGAGGACTTTTCAGATCCAGGATTAAAAGCCAAACGTTAATTGCTGCAGGCAAAACAAGAGGACATGTCCATCCTTGGGCCCTCCCTGGCATTCTCATGTGTGCCCTTTCCCAAGTCCTCTTCCCATGATCTGGGCTCAGTGCCAATCCTACAGACAAGGTAGGATGGCTTTCTACCCCCACATCCAGCTATTAGAGCTCACAGGTCTCTCTTTCTGTGTGTTTACCTTTCAAAGCAGAACCACAGGAGAAGATGAAAGCTAATCCAATGGGTAAGGGCTGTAAGCACCTGCAGGACACAGAGATGTAAGGGCTTTGGGGTCTCAATAAGCTGGTAGGAAACTTCCACTGCTCACTTCTCAAAAGAAGTTCTGGATGTTTTCAGATCTGAAAGACTCACCTTCCTAATGATAATAAGACCACAATGCTTTCCACTCTACCCAGCTGGCTTACTTCCACCTGATCTTTGTTAGCCTCCTTTAATGGGGGAAGTGAGGCTCACTGGTACAGGGACGCACCCCAAGTCACATAGCTCCTAAGTGAACTGGGCTGGGACTTTAGATTCCAAGCCCCGGGCCGGCGGGGCTGAGCTCAATAGAGAAGAGACCTCAGCTTGGCATAAGCGAGTAAGTGAAAGTGGTCCTAGTAGCCTCAGGTCTGCCTGGGTTCCATTATCCAGAAACAGCCTATTTCTGGAAAACAGAGTTCAAAAAAGGAGGTAAAATGGAATCAAACAAGAGCAAGTCAAATGGCCTTTATCTAGCCAAGGGGCAAAAAGCCTTGCTCATTTTACTTGCCAATCACACCCCTGTGTCTCTCGCCACATTTTCATCTACAGTAAATGCTCTACAGGGAGTGGGTGACGATGGAGGGAAAGGAAGGTGGAAAGCTACTTCACTCCCAGAAACTCAACCACAGGTGATCTCTAGCACAGAAATTGCCAAGGGTCACCCCTCAGCAGCATCCGGTCTGAACTGGGCACTGGGGGCTCCCGAGCTGCATGCAGGAGGGCATGGGCCAAAGGGCGTCACATCTGGCTTCAAATGAAAACAATGAGCTCCAAAGCCTCCTCACCTGTTTAGTTCCAAATCTGACACAGTATGATTAGAACAAGGAAAAGAAAAATTAAATATTTTGAAGATGATATAAGTTAAATCTCTATAGTTACCACAGATTTATTCCTACAGCATTTCTAGGATTTGAAGTATTCCACACCACGGTATTTTTTTCTTTTTTCAACCACGTGTAACACTGCTATTACAGGGCCAGGTTCTCACTGTGGCCCGTTCTACACATGAACACAAGGATGCGCGGTCAGGCCTCTTCCCGCCAACCTCCTCTGGTGCTTTTGGGATAGAGTTGGCCTTGGCCTCTTAGTGGAAGGGCAAGGTCTCTGGGGTGGACTGAGGGTTTTCTATGAAGGTTTCCCCACCTGTAGGAGCAGCCTGCTTGGGTTACAGCCTGCCCCACCCATCCTGTAGGGCCAGACTGTTCTGGAAGGCCACAACTTCTGGAGACAGTGAGAGAATGTTTTTGTTTTTCTGCATGTTAAGTGGTATATTGCTTCATTCGCAGTTACTGTGGGGCCTCTAAGTCCTCCCAGAGAAGTCCCTGCAAATCCCACCAAATAACAGCGGGAGATGTTTGGTGGCATGGGTCTGAGGTAAATCTAAGTTTCATAAAAAGAAAAAGGAAATACTATATACATTTAGCATGTGTGTATGTCCAGATCTAGTATATGTATATCGATGCATAAATATATATATATACAAACACACCCACACCTACGACACGTGCATATGAGTATATATGCACATGTACACACACACACACACACACACACACACACGCACAGAGACTGCTGAGAGAATAATTTCCAGTACGGTATACGAGAGGTGCTGTCTAGCATTCGGCCTCCATCTTGGGGAAGTGTACTTGGGGTTGCTCCCACTCTAGCATTCCTCGGAGTGCCTGTCTGCACGCTGGAGGGCTGTGGGATTCACACAGCTGAGCGTGAGCTGCAGCTAATGCCTGGGCCTTGGTTCTCCACTGATGCACACTCTCCCAGGCTGACCTCCCGGGCTCTGCCCTCCAAGGCCGGGAGGATCGCTGGGAAGCAAGGGCAGCCACGGAGGCCACCCTAAGCCACAGTGCACCACAGTGGGCCCGAGCGATGCCACCCCTCCACCAGGTCACATGGTGCCCGACTTGTCTGTGGTGCTGTTGGGGAACATCTTCTCAGTGGGTGTCACAGCTGGGCTACCCACCCCTGAGCTGCTGCTGCTGCTAGACCGATGCTGGACTACTGGCCTCACTGGCCGCATGGGGGGCGGGCGCAGCTGAGCACCGGCCAGGCGGGCAGACAGGGCTGGCTTGAAGGTGGTCATCATCTCGGTGGAGGAGCTGCTGCTGCGGCGCATGGCGGCATCGGGGTCTCGGATGACGATGGTGTGCAGGGGGCTGGCAGGTTCCGAGCTGATAGGGCCCGGAGGGTTCTTCAGGGGCTCCAGGGTGTCCAGCACCACATCTGGCGCCTGCTTGACTGTGTTCTGCCTCTCGAGTTCCCGCAACTCATGCAGAGCGGTGCTCATGGTCTTCTCGATGTCCTAGGGGCAGAGAGAGCACTGGTCAGCACCATCTGCAGCCCAGAGCCCATGCCTTCCCACGCTGCTAACCAGCTGGTGGGAGTTCTTCAAAAGGTCTTCCCCAGGTGCCTCATGGCTTTGATGGAGATCACATCACTAAATAGGAGAATCTTTTTGTTGTTGTTGTTTCCCTTGCAGTACTGGAGATTGAACTCAGGATGTGATGCCTGGAACATTCTGGGAAAGTGTTCTACCACTGAGCCACACCCCGGCCCTTTTTGGTTTTTTGAGACAGGGTCTCGATAAGTTGTCGGTTTCCCAGTCTAGGCTCAAACGTGTGATCTTCCTGCCTCAGACTCCCAAGCTGGGATTGTAGGTGTGCACCACCATGACCAGTTTAAATGGAGAGTCAAGCAAGAGTCCCCAGAATTGACTCTGCACAGGAAATCAACCTAACAAGGGTGGCTCCACCTACTGGATAGGAGGGCAGGCATGCAGTTAAATTTATAGGAGTTCAAATTGTGGCCCTACCATTTCTTTTCTATATGGCATGGGCAAGTTACCATATTTCTCCAAGCCTCAGATCCTCGTTTGTAAATCGCAGATAATTTTTTGGTGTTTTTTTTTTTTTTTTTTTTTTTG